TGGCTGGCTGGCTGGCTGCTGATGTCTGGCGGGCCCCGGTGCCTTCAGTGAGGTGCTGGCGGCCGAGGCCGTGTCGTGCCTGAACCGAGCCATGGCGGCGCTGCGGGACATATGGGAGGAGATCGGCATCCCCGAGGAGCAGCGCCTGGAGCGTACCGAGGTCGTCAAGAAGCACATCAAGGTGAGGGCTGAGGGGGGGGATCCCCGGCGGCCGGGACAGGGCGGTCCCCGGGCCCGCTGTTGAGTCTCACGCTCGCTGTTGGGCCTGCGGCTGCAGCGAGAGCCCCCCCCGGCCTGGCCCGGGGCCAGGGCAGCTTGGCAGCAGCTCGCCCAGAAGGGCTCTGTCGGGGCCCTCCGGGCCAGGCTGCGAGCAGAGGGCCAGCCAGGTCTAGCAGAAGCACCCGGAGGTCCCTACTTGGGTTGGGGGCACCCGGGGATGTCGCTGTGCCTCTGCCCTTGCCCTGTGCGGCCTGGTCCTGCTGGGCACCCCGTGCTGCCTGCCCTTCTGCTGGCCCTTTCTTTGCTGAGGCCTAGCAGCAGTTCTCTAGCTGTGGTCCCAGTGGCTTGCCCAGTCTCCCATCATGCTCCCTTCTCACTCTCCATCCCCGGGACCCGCTTCTCTAACCGTGCCTGTGCCACAGAGTCTCCTGGACATGATGGTTGCAGAGGAGGAGAGCCTGAAGGAGCGCCTCTTGAAGAGCATTGCTCTATGTCGGAAGGAGCTTGACACCCTCTGCAGGGAGCTCCAGCTGGACCCCTTTGAGGTAAGGTATTGTTTTTCACTCCTGGGATCCTGCTGGCAACACTCTTCTGCTGCCTGGCCTCTGCCCCGGTGCCTCGGTGAGGCTGGAGCTCGCAAGGCAAGCATCTGTTCAAAACCACTTTTCCTGACGTTTGGTAGAGCCAAAGGCTTTGTGGCTCCTCGCAGGTTGGGCGCTGAGAGATGGTTGTGAGGAGGCCAGGTGTCTTGCAGCATCTCACTTTGAGCATTGCTGCTGTGTTTGCACCTTCCTGGGGAACATCTTGCTTGGAACAAGGGCTTGTGTCCCAGGTCTTTGTTTAAGAAGCCTAAATATATGAGTCAGGTCTGCAAGAGCTGTGGAGAAAAGCACCGATTTCTGTACTCTTCTAGGCAGAGGAAGAAAGTACTATTCTGCAGATGGAGAAGAATTTGCGCACCCGTGTGGAAGTGATGTTAAAGCAGAAAAGGGACAGGAAGCAGGAGCTCAAAACCCTGCAAGAACAAGATCGAGACTTGTGTGACATCCTCTGCACAACCCCGTTCTGCATTGACAGTACTGCTGTGCCCAGCCTGGAGGACCTGGATCGTTACAGGCGCCACTTGGCCTCCCTGACTGCCGAGAAGGTAAGCAGAGAGCGGGTGAGGATCTCGCCGATGGTGGCACGCAAGGTGCTCGCTGGTTTCTAATGCTGCTTGTCACCTCCAGGAGCAAAGGCGAGAAGAGTTTGTCAGCAGCAAGCGGCAAATCATCCTCCTTATGGAGGAGCTGGACCACACTCCAGACACAAGCTTTGAGCGGGATGTGGTGTGCGAGGATGAGGAAGCCTTCTGTTTGTCCATGGACAACATTGCTGCCCTCCAGAATCTGCTGCAGCAGGTATGTTGGCACACTGAGGCAGCGTTGCTTGCTGTGGAGGCTGTCAATGGGTCCTGGCAGCAGTTGGCATCGCAATGTAAAGAGCAACAGCTCGGTTTTCAGCAAGACTGTGTGTTAGAACATCCTTTTGGGAGCTTTTGCAAGATCTTGGAAGATGAACGAGTGGCTTTGCTAGGTGCAGTAAAGCAAATGGTGTACTCGTGCCCTTTGGGCTAGGCTGTGCTGGTGCTGAGCCTGTGCTTTACCTTCTGTAGCTGGAAGCCCGGCGATCCCTGAATGAAGCTGTGTGCACAGAGCTGCGCTCCAGAATTGTTGCGCTCTGGGAAAGGCTGCAGGTTCCTGTGGAGGAGAGAGAGTCTTCTGCAGTGCACATGACTGGGTCCAGAGCCAAAACCAGAAAAGCTGTAAGGACCCTCCTGTGCCCTTGGAGGGGGAGGGCTGGGGAGCAGCAACTCTGGGTTTCATGCTCCTGTTTGCTCAGCTAGAATGGAGGAGCTGCTTCCAGCAGTCAGGTGCGAGGTGAGCAGGCCAAATCCTGCCCTCGCGGGTAGAGGAGCTGGGAGTTGGTGCTGGTGACTGTCTATCTTAGAAAGTAGCTTAGGCAGAATATAAATCCTGTTCTGCTCCTTTTCTTCTCATGCTGCCTTCTCTGAGTCTGTGCTCTGATCTTTTTGGCAGCTGCAGTTGGAAGTGGACCGTCTGGAGGAGCTGAAGCTGCAGAACATGAAATCTGTGATTCAGGCAATCCGGGCAGAGCTGGCTGACTATTGGGACAAATGCTTCTACAGTCAGGAGCAGAGGGAAGGCTTCAGCCCCTATTACGATGGTGGGTGCTGGCTCTTCCTGCTCATTGACTCCCCTGTGGGAGCTGCAAGCTGCCTGCTGGCAGGCCAGCTGCTGAGAAAGACTGCCCTCAGCTCACAGGGGTGTGGGGATCCCGGGTGCCTCCTGAGCGTGCTGTTGTTATCCTCTCCAGAGGACTATACAGAGACCCTGCTTGAGCTCCACGATGCTGAGGTGGGGAAGATGAAGAGATACTATGAAACACACAAAGATCTGTTTGAGGCCGTCCAGAAGTGGGAGGAGAACTGGAAGCTGTTCCTGGAGCTGGAGGTATTGTCCAGGCAGGAACGTGCTCTGCTTGGCTCAGTGCTAGGTCACCGAGCAGCGTGTGCCTCTGCTGCCATGTGCAAAGTGCTCTTGGGAAAGACCAAGAAGGCACTAGGAAACCACAGTGGGTCAGTGAGGGGGTGGGGCGCTGTATGTAGCACACTGGTATGGTTTGTGATGGGGGGCTGTGCAGCAGGCATGGCTTCCTCCAGGGCCTTTATTCTGTGGGGTGTATCTTGGGCTGTGAGACTGGGTAGTGTATTTGGTTCTCTCCTGACCTCCCTTCTGTACTAGAGGAAAGCAACTGACCCCAGTCGCTTTGCCAACCGTGGGGGGAATCTGCTGAAAGAAGAGAAGCAGCGCGCAAAGCTGCAGAAGACACTTTCAAAGGTAGGTTCAGCCCTGGAGAAGAAACTGTAGTCCCAGATAGCACTGACTGAGGAAAAGCACAGCACTTAGAGCCAGCAAGAGATATCTCTGGGTGTGGAGATGCCCACGTTCAGGAGGGCAGCCTCTCTACACTGCCCTTGTGTCCTGATCAGCTGCAGGAGGAGCTGGAGAGCAGGGTCCAGGCCTGGAAGCAGGAGCATGAGGGGACCTTCCTGGTGAAGGGGCAGCAGTTCATGGAGTACGTGATGGAGCAGTGGCAGCTATACCGCCTGGAGAAAGAGAAGGAGAAGCAGGAGCGGGTGAGTGCGAAGCTAAGTGTGCTGCCTCCTGACCTGGAGGAGCCTCTGCTGCACTGAACACAGGCCCTGCTCTGCACAGGTGGGGGAACTGCCCCAGCTGCTGCCTGGGGTTCTGTGTCTCCTCACTCTCTGCCTGGAAGCAGCTCTGCATGCAGTCACCTTTTTTTGATGGTGGGACTGGTGTCCATTGCTATCAGTGTCTGTGTGTGTTGAGCCCCTTTCTTGGCCCCAGCTGTGCCAGAACTGTAGCTTGGTTCTGGATACCTGTAAACCTCTGTTGAAATACCTGCTGCTTGGCCATGCCACAGATTGTGTGCAGGGCACTGCCTGCTGGCAGAAGCCTGCCCTTCCCCTGGCAGCCAGTGGCAAGCAGGTGCTCCACAGCTCTGCACAGCTGTTGTGCTTGGGTTTGTAAGTGCAGATCTCTCACACAGCACCTGAAGAAAAGCCGCCAGATTGAGGCAGAGATGATGTATGGAAGCACCCCACGGACACCCATCAAGCGCCGGGTGCTCGGCCCCCACACGCCTGGCAAAGTAAGGAAGGTAAACTGTCTGTGCGAAGCAGTGTAGATGTGCTGGACCCCAAGTGCTTGGCTGGGACCCTGCTGGGAGCTGAGTGCTGTCACTAGGCTAGAGCTGTGCCTTGTCTTGGACTGTCCTTGGTCCCATGCAGAGATGCAGGGAAGGCTTAGGGTGCTGCGGCAGTGTAACAGATGCAGAGAAAGGCCCCAGGCTGCAGGCACCTCTGTTCTCCCTGGGGACAACTGGATCTGTTGCACTGTGGTGCTCTGGAGGCAGAAGGCTCTGTGCAGCTGGGACTTCCACCTTGGTTTCCCTGGCGTGGTGCAGCTGCTGGCTTCTTCCCAGTGTAACATGTGCTCTGCTTTTCCCCTCAGCTCAATGGCACTTCCATCTCCAGTGCCACACCCAACAGCACCGTTCGTTCAGCTTTTGGGGGAACCATCTACCACTCACCAACGTCTCGGTTGCCACCTTCTGGAGGGAAGGTAAGGAGCTTTCCAGGGTGTCCCTGCCCAGCAGGATGAGCTGGGGAGGAGATGAGTGAGCTGGAATGGCACAGCTCTGACTGCTGTCACACTGTGCTTCACTGCCTCCCTTGCCAATCTCCTGGGGTGCAAAAGCCCCTGTTTGTCCATAGACTGCTGTGTTAGGCTGCTGTAATCCTGGCAGGATATTTCTGGGACCTGAGGGAGGAGTAGGGTAGTACAAGCATTCAGGAAATCTTCCTCCAGCCCAGATTTCTAGCGTACCTCGGTTCCTCTGTGGCTGAGCCTGCAGCTTGGGGGACCTTCAAAACATGTGTGTGGTATTGTATGTTTCTGAGATCAGAATTGGGCCCTAGACCCTGGAGGGCTCCTGGAGCTTGAAACTACTCTGGCACTGCAGAGTGACAGGCAGCAAAGCCAGCACAGCTCCCCTAGCTCTACTTAATTCTTGTGTCCTGTCTAACTGTCACTTTTTCCTGTAGTTTGGCCAGGCTCGGACCCCCATCCGTGCAGTTGCAAAGCCCCCCCGTCCTGGATACAGGGAACGGAACAAGGAGAACGTGTCCCAGCTGAATGGAACCACCCTGAGCGGTGGGTGCACCCCCACAGCCCCTGCCCAGCGTAACCACAGCGTTAATTCTGTTGCCAGCACCTATTCTGAGTTTGCGGTAATTCACCTCTTCTAAACCCACCTCCCCTCACTGGGCAGCACAGGGGGTGTGCTCCCTCCCTCCCAGAGCACCCCAAGGGACTCAGCTCTGCACAGCCCTCCTTGTGTCCCTGTGCAGAGGGGCTGTTCTTGCTAGTGCCTGTGACAGCAGATCTGTCGGCCCTACATTGAAAACTTAAAATTGAGGTTTGGTGGCTGAGGCCAAGCACTGCTCAGGTCACACAAAGGCCCTGAGCAGCCCAGTGGAGAACAGACACAAACACAAGAGAAATGCTGATGTTGGGGGCATCTCCCAGCCCTGTGCAGGGGCAAAGCTGTACATGGCCCAGGCCCCCTGGAACAGCCCCGCTGCAGTGATGCAGCCACTCTCCTGAGGTGGGTCTGTCTCCAGCTGCTTGAGCAAGCAGCTTGACCACCCCTGGTCACTTGTTGCAGCGTGTTCTGGGGGTGATGATGCTCCCCAGCCTGTCCGAGGGGCTGCAGTATGGTGGCTAGGGCAGCTGGCAGCAGCAGCACTCTCACTGTCCTAACCTGGTCAGTGAGGGAGGGTCTCCTGACCCCCCAAGGGGGGGAAGCCTTTTCCTGCTGCCTGCATGTACTCACGGACACTGCTTGCTGTCCCCCCTGAGCTGAGCCTGCAAAGAGACCCTGGCATCTGTCCCACCTTTTCCGCTGGTCTCTCTGTGGTGTGCTGGGTGAGCAAAGCCTGGGGAGCTGCCCCATCTGCTGAAGAAGGTACTCTCTGCTGATGGACAGGACTTTGCTGTCTCTGGCTGGCTGTAGGTCCCTTAGCCTCTGCCCTTCCATTAGGATGGGCTGAGCCCAAGCTTTAACATCTTCTGACACTAGAAAGCCATGAGCATCTCTTCCTTGTGGCAGCTAAGCTGGTGTGTGGTGCACCCTGTGTGTCCCTGGGGCTGTGCTGAGGATTTCCCTGCAGCAGAACTGTGATTCCAGGCTTGTGCACAGCCTCAGGGCCAGGAGGGTGCTGGTTTGTGATGGAGGCAGATTCCTGCTAGGTATTCCCTTCCTCCAGCAGCTGGGCATGGCTGTCCCTGTCCTCCTGCGTGCCCTCCCTTCGCCAAGGGGCAGCCTGTTTGCTTTCTACTGATCTGGCAGTGCTTTCCAGGACAGACAGCCTGCTGCAGGAGAGAGGGATGTGGTTCCCAGCCTGGGGCTGTCTGGGTAACAGGTACTCCTGCTTCTGGGAGGCTGACAGGCTCCTAGTTCTTTCTCAGCTACTTGATGCTAATGTTTTCCTGTCCTCTTCTGAAGCAAGAGAGCGGCGGGGGCGGGGGGGAAGGAGCTCAAACAAACAAGCAGGAGCACCCTGGCCTGCCCTTCTTGCCAGCCTGGAGCTGCTCCTGCTTTCCCACAAAGCAACAGTACTGTCCCTGCTGCCATCTGCACAGCTGCCCTCTCTGTCCCCTCATCCCTGTCTCCTGCTTCTTGTTTCCACAGCGCGAACTTTCAAAGGCTTCCAGGTCTGACAGTACTTCCCGCATCCTGAACTCCACCACCACCAATGCCTTCTGCTGAGCTGCTGCCTGCTGGGCTCCAGCTGGTCGTAGTCGTAGTGAGTCGCTGCTCGGGCAGAGTGTTACACAGCTCTCCCTGTGCCCAAAGCGTCCCATGCTCTAGGTTTAACTTTTACCTGGGTCCCAGGCGTTACTCCGGCCAGCCTGGCTCTCTGTGGGGCGGGGGGGTGTTTCTGCCTAATGGGGTAGGGTGTGAAAAGTACACTTTTTAAAACTTGCTTTTATTTAGGGAATTCTTGCAATTGTTTATGATTAAAGATTGTGTTAGGGTAGCGCAGTGATGGGTGCTGGCTCCTGCTGCAGCCTGGCTGGCTGGGGTGAGCATTGGTGCTCAGTCACAGGGGCTCTGCCTTGCTGAGCATGCTCTGGGACAGACAGGACCTATGGCTTTGGTGCCTTTCGTCAGAGGCTTTTTTACCCTCCATATTGCTGTAGCTATTGTCCATAAGCATCTTCCTTTCTCAACATCACAGCAGGCTTGTTTTAGTGGGGGCTTGCTTTAGCTCAGGTTCCATTAGCAGACTTTGCTTGACCCCTTGTATCCTGCTGCTCCCTCTGCCCCCTCCCTGAGCAGTGGAGAGGCAGAGCCTGTGGCAGCAAGTGCCTGAGCACACATTACTAGCAAGGAAGTGAGCTACAGTGGGACAAGGCCTTCTTCCCTGCTCTTGGGAAGGAGACCAGCTTGTCCTACCCCAGGACCTGCTCTGCACCGTCCAGTGCTGCCCTCTGCCCTCCCTCGCACTTCGATCTAGCAGAGGACAGCAAGCCGAGTGCTTTGGCAGTATGACACAGCCCTGGGCACAGCTTGGGGGGGCCTGTTTGCACTTTTGTTAAAGCTCTGTATGTATGCGTCTGTCCCTGATCGTGACTAGTTTGCACCTTGTTATCACTACAGTCCCCCACTTGCTGTTATTTATTCTCCAGGTTCTGTGCCCTTGTTCTGTAACTCTGTATATACTGTTCAATGGAATAATATGTATATGTTTATATAGCTGCTGCTGTTTGTGTATCCATGGGGTGACCGAAGGCTCCCCCGCTGTGGCCTTGCAGCTGGGGAGGGTTGGGCATAGCTTTTAGCTGGGGTTGGGACCGGGACAGTCTTTTGTATGCAACAGGAAGCACCACCACAGCCATTAGTGTGGTAGTAATGTAGATGTAATGAAAGTAGTAAAGTAAATGTAGAGTAATGAGTAGTAAAGTAGATGTAATGTAGAGTAATGAAAAGTAGATGTAATAAATATGTTCAGCCTTTCCCTTGGTTGTCTTCAGCACTTTTGTGCAGCTGCAGCCTGGGCAGGGTCAGGTGCCAGTCCAGTTCCAGTGTGTGAGTTCAGTTCCCTGTGGGCTAAACCTGGCCAGATCCTGTCTTGGGGCATCGCCTGCCCCATCTCTGAGGGCAGAGTGGTGCTGGGGCTGGTCCTAGCAGCAGGCACGCAGGAGCAGAGCTTGCCTGTGTCTTCCTCACTGCAGACAGCTGGGGGACAGCAAGGGGCTTTGGGGCCCTCATGGCTCCAGCACACAGATGTAGGTGGTCCAGGGCCCACACACCACCTCCTCTGCCCGTAACCCCTCGGCCACCAGGTACTCAACACGGCGTGGCTGGTCAGAGCTGGCATTGTCCTTGTGTCCCAACTGCCCGTATTTACCTGCAGACACCACAGTCGTGGTCACCATTACAGGGTGAGGGTTCCCTGGCCTTGCAGGGGCAGGGAGGAAATGTGAGAGCAGCGCCTCCCCCTACAACTGGCTCCAGCCAGGAACCTGTGGCACTGCTCTGCTATGAAACCTCACCCTGATAAAATGACTTGTTATACAAGTAATAGCAGCCAACGGTAAGGAAGCAGAAACCAAAGGCTGTTCCTGGGGGGTGCTGCACCATCCCAGAGCAAAGACATCACTTACCCCAGCCCCAGGTGTAGAGCTCGCCACCTCCTGCAAACAGGACAGCACCCATCAGACAGCACCCACCTCTGCCCCAATGGGTCCTGGTGAACCCCAGGCCATGTTAGCCACCCCCCTGCTCCTGGGCAGCACCAAAAGCAGGGGTGCTGCCTGCCTCCCTGCCAGCAAGAGCCAGGCACTCACGTGTGATGATGGCTGTGTGCCGGGACCCACAGCTGACCTTGCTGACCTCCAGGTCCTGTGGCAGATCCAGCAATGCTGGGAACGCCTGGATGGAAATGAATGCGGTGTCCTCAGCAGCCAGCTGCTCCTGGTGGGGCATCAGCTCAGCGGCCCCTGGGGAAGAACGGACCCTCAGCTCCCGGGAACGACCGGGCCTTGCCAACATCATCAGCAGGCTGGAACCACACCAGCCTCACACCTAGCTGCTGGCACTGCTTGTGGTCCCGGCATCACCTGCTGTCCCTGGCCTGACCAGCTGCACCCTCACCTGCTCCGGGGTCATGGTCCTGTGCCTGCTCTTCCACCAGTGCTTTGGAGGGCAGAGCCAGCTGGCCGGACTCGTTCCAGCCCCACATGTAGAGGTCTCCTGTCTCTGCAGGGTGGGAGGGAGCCCATCAGGGATGCCCCTGGAGCAGAGCTCAGCCCTGAACCCCTGGCAGTGGCTGAGTGCTCTGGGGGCACCAGCACCGACCGTGCATGGCACAGGGCAGCAGTACGGGGTACTGGTCCTGCCGGGGCCATACGCTGCCACTGACCACCTGCACCCAGCACAGCCCCTCACCGCTAATGCTGGCCGAATGCCACCCGCCAGCCGCCACCGCCTGCATCGGCACACCGGCCAACGCCTCCACCAGCCGCGGCTGCAGCTCTGACTCCAGGGTCCCGTGGCCGAGCTGCCCGTGCCTGTGGGGAGACACACATGGACAGACAGACACACACCTCCTGCACCTCACTGCCCTCCAGTCCTCGCACCTCCCAGCCCCGCCATGAGCCCACGGTCCTGATCGAGCCCCTCCTGCCTGCTGCTGCCCACGACCCGGCCCCCCAGGACCCCCCATGGCAGGGAGGGTGCAGAGGGGGCACAGGGCCCAGCCTCAGGGGGAAGGAGGGTGCCCCTGCACCCTGGTGCCAGGCCATGGGAGGCTGGCAGGGACTCTGGGGCCCAGAGAGCGGGTTGCAGCACGCAAGCCTGTGGGTCAGTAGCAGCTGCACAACACGAGGCAGGGGTCCATGTCATCGTGCAATCGCTGTGCAACGGTGCGGTGAATGACACAAGTCTGAACTGATAAATGTGTTTACAAGTCAGTCCATTGCTCAGCTAACTGCTGAGCTCACTTGGGCTATGCTGAGCCAGCAATCAACAGCGCAATGGTGGCAATCAGTTTAGCCCCCAAGTCTGAAAGTGAAAGTGGGGGAAATCCCATGAGGGGACAAGCTGGGGCTCAGCCGGGGGGGGGGGGGGCACCAATTGCCATGACAAGCGTTTCACATAGCAGGCACACTAAGGAGGGCAGGCCCATGTGGGCTACGCAGGGCAGGACTCAGACACACATGCTGTGGGGGAGCTGCCCCACGTGAAAAAAATCCACCCTGCGTGGGTGAGCTGTGCCATCACTGGTGCTGACAGCAACGCCAAGGACACAAACAGCCCCGGGGGTGGCAGCCATGGCCAAAGGCAAAGGCGATGAGATGCATGTGGCTTCTGGCACCATTCGGGGTGGCAGAGCCTGAGCTGCTGAAGGAATCGCCAAGGCTGAGAGGAGGAGCTGAGTCCAGAAATAGGGAAAAGCCAAGTGCTGGTGGGAGGACAATGCCCAGTGCAGGCAACCTGCGCACAGGACTGGAACCGTGACAGTTACAGACTGGGAGGGTTGGTGGCGAGCAAGTGGAATATAACACCCCAGTGGCTTTAATTGTCAAAGCTGTTGAAAAAGCTGAAAGAGTTGGAAAGGTAAAATAAACAGCTCAGCTGCACAGAGCAGATGAGTCTTGGGGATCGTCAAAGTGTCGGAACAGGATGCCAAAAACTGCCAATGCAACAACACTGGAAAGTATTTTTGCTCTCCTTCACAGGGATATCTGCAGAAAGTCAGGGCAAAGAGATGCACCCAGCAGGGCTAAACACAGGGCTGGTTCTTGGCTGGCCCCAAGCTCAGCTGCAGGCACCGAGCAGCAGCTTAGAGTGCCGACAAGCAGGGAAGCGTTTGCAGCAGTGGGGAAAGGGGGCTCCTAGCCCGAGCAGGCAAAGGCAACCACAGCCTGCAGAAAGAAAGGGGCTATGAAGGCTTGAGCAGGGCCAGTGCCGAGCCATTATACAGAAGAGCTGTGACACTGTGGGACACGGCCTAGGGACATGCTGGAGGATTCTCAGCCATGGAGAGAAGCTTAACCATGGCATTTAGTTTTCTTTCAAAAATGTTAATCCTAAAATACATGTTCACAAGTGTAGAAACCTTTCCTCTGAGGGGAAGCAAGAAGGACAAGATAATACAGTGTCTGCAAATGCAACAACTGCTGATTTAAACTGAGTTTTAGGTTTGCTGTAAGGACCAGCTGGCCAAGACCCCAGCCAGCAGTGAACAGAGAATGGGGGAACAAAATGCTCCTGAGCCGATCAGATACACTGAGGGAGGGCGATGGGCCAAGTCACACAGCTCTGCTGAGTACAACCATCAGTCTTTGGTGGTTTTGTTTTCCATAAGTAGCAAAGAAAGAGAGAGGAACACATAATCCCTTCCACCCTATGGATATTAACAACTAATAGTTACTGTGCTCAGAGTTGATCGCGCACTGGCATCCTAACATGGTGCCTCACACGTACATCTGTGGTACTGGGGATGTACAGATGCAAACCAATGGATTTACCAAGTGGGGGGGTGGGGGTGGGGTGGTGTCAGAGCGTGACAAGACCCAGCGATGCCTCAGCGACACCCAGAAATGAGCCCTACAGTAACGGGGCTTTAATGGCCCACGGCTCCCAGCACATCTTTGCAGCTCTGGGACTGAGAGGATGCATCCCTGTGTGCTGCAGTCCCGGGGGCATTTAGCCCACTGTGCCAGAACTGATGGTGCTGGACAGGGCAAGAACTCAGAGCAGCTGCAGCCGCGAGGGCTGCAACGCTGCGTACAAGCAACACAAACAGTGGCACAGGTAGGAGCCGGCAACTTGTGTTGCCAAATGCGTAACCACACCTCAGCCTTGGAGCAAACGGAGAAGCAGGAATCCCTTGGCAGGCGCCAGGCAGTAGAAATCACGCGATCCAGAGAAGGGATAGCCTGGAGCTGCGCCCTCCGTCATCTGGGAAAATGTTACTGGATGTGGGGCAGCCAGGGCAGCATGTGCAAAAGCAAACCCTGAGCTAACAGATAACACCTTTAAGAGACTAAACTGAACAATCCTGCTGGCTATTTATTGCACCCAAGTGCAACTGCTGGCAAGTGAAAGAGGGCGTCAGGGGTTGATGCTTTTCCCAAGGGGTTTACTCCTCTCCCTAGCAGAGGGATCTTGTACTGAAGTGCTAACAGACATGTGGTACCACTGTCCATCTCAGAAACAAACTGATCTTTGACTGCAGGTGGCTGCCTTTGTGACATGTTACAGAGGAGCAGGAGCAGAGGGAGCTGAACCTTACACTGATTTGAAGCAGCCGGGTGAAGGATAAGGCAGAGCACAGACGCGGTACCTGGCCGTCACTCGCCCACAGGAAAGAGAGATTTGTGCTGAGCTGATGCACCAACAACCTCAGCCAGGGACCCAGCCAGCCTGACGTGGTGAAACATCCCGACATCACTGCAGCACCCAGAGAGAAGCTGAGAGTGGAAAACCAACAGGCCTAGCAAGTGCATTAGAGAATAAAAACCTTTCAAATGGGGACTGAGAGTGAACCGCCAATTGTACGTCACTGGTGTGACAGGTTTATGGGACAGTCCCCAAAACCTGCGGCTGTGTTATACTTGATACTGTATCCTGTGGTTGTGCTGATAGCGCTGCAACAACCTTCCTTTATCACCCTGCATGCATAGGGCCAGGCACCACAGGAGCAGTGCTGCAGGACCAGACAGGAGGGTACGTGGCCTGGTACCATGAAAACCACAGCAGACTCAGCAAGAAGGGACCGCAGGGACATCAGGGGTCATGCAGAGACCTGAGTGGTCTCAGAGGCCACCCTGACAGGGCCACAAGCCAGTGGCCCCACAGAAACCACAGCCCCAGCACCCACAGAGGAGACAGGGCTAGCGAGGGGGGGACCCAGCGGGGATGGGAGCGCAGGCAGGGTGGGCACAGCAGGGCCAGCGCTCCCCAGAAGCCAGGAGCCAGGCTGCCTGTGCCAGGGGGGACATGCTGGTGCTCAGCAGGACCTGGCTTCGGCGAATGCCAGATCCTGTCAGCACAGGGGTGAACACTGTGCAGCAGGGGGGATGCAGGCAGCCATGGGCGGGGGGGGGGAGCACCCTTCACGGAGAGCACGCCCGCTACATCAGCAATGATGTACAGGGCTGAGATTGCTTAGTGATAGTGTGAGAAATGCCAAATTCGGGTAGAAGTAGCAAAACTGGGACCAGCAGGGAAGAGCATGGGGGTGACCCACCGGCCCCCCTCCATCACACTGCTGGCCTGAAGACGTGGAGTGGGAGAGCTAAGCCTAGAGGGGTGGACTAACGCCAAGTGACATGGGAGGGTAAGGAGGGATGGGCTTACACCCCAATACCTTTATCCCTGCTGCACCCCCACACCCTAACCCTGAGCCCCCCCCAGCTGTAGCAGCAAGCAGCATGGAAAGGTAAGGAGGGACAGACTTGCACCCTAACCCCATGCACTGCAGGAGGGTGGAGGGAAAGGAGAAAGGGCTGTAACTCAACAGCAGTTGTATATCATCAAGAGGACTTAAGAGTTCTTAAGTGGAGCTCAGTAATTATGCGCAACACCACACAGAATAACAGGATGATGAAGTAATGAGCGGTGTGTTTACTAACTAGTCAATTAGTTTACTGATCGTGTAATCACTTTATTAGATTATTTTACCACACTGACTAATCAATCAACACTACACAGACTCCAACCGGTCCGTCTTAAGCCTGCCAGCTCACGGGGAGAGCTCAGACCCTGGGGTGACATCCCCCCCCACCCCCAACATCCTCTCACCTGCATCCTCCCTGGCATCCCTTTTGTACCCCCCCCATCATTCTCGCTGCATCCCCCCCAGCACGCTCAGCATCCCTTCCCGCATCATCTCCCCCTCTATGTCCTTCATCCCAC